TCAAAAAAGGAGCACAGTTGCCCATCTCTACTTGGGAAAAGAAAAAGGACTCAAGAGGCTTGTTTCTAAACCCCAACTCGATGAGAACTTCAAGAAGATGCACCGTGAAACCTTGGCACAACTCTGGCGGAATGGCGATATTTTTAAAGACAAAACAATTATCAACCGTCTTCAGCGAGTCAGAGGAAGCATCGAGCAGGGGGAGGTGTTTGCCAATTATGGAAAACTGAAAATCCCTGTGCGCCCAGCTCTCGTTCATCGTGTTAGTGGCGGTTTCAGTACAGAAAAGGTTTCTTTCTACCTTGGTTTTGCAATCAAGGGACCTATTGCTTACGATATCCAGTATGAAAACTAGGGTGGTAAATGTACAAACATGTGCTGCACAAGCACAAGCACTGCAAACCACTTGAAAAACAGGTGATGAACTGTGTTGGAGTCTGACACAGACTACATAAATAGACAAATGACAATCAAATGGTAAATGCCAGTCCTGTAATGCAGTTCTAAGTATGTCTGAATTATTTTGATTTTACAAACCAATTGCGTGGCTCAAGTTGTTTTGTACCTAAGTGAAATATATTTTTAAGTGACTTAATATTTTATGAATGTTAGAGGTACATTTTCTGATGAACTTTTGTTGTTTTAGTTTTTGTTATTGTCTGTCTGAGATGGGGCTCATTCCCCAAACTGATTTCTGTTTGTTTATTGACATGACCCTGAGTCATATTTCTGTATTAATAATCTTTTAATGAAATGTACAGCCCTGTCTCCTCCCCAGCAGTGTGTCTGTCAGTGGGTGTGTGTTTAGATGGATCAGATGGTGATGCAGAGGCTGCTGCTGAATGGAGGGAGGAAAGGAGATTTGCCGCAACCGGATTGGTCGAACCAGCTTTTAAAACTACGCTGCTGCAGTCTGGGCTTCTCTTGCCACTGCCACCAAAGCCAGCCGGTTTACAGAATCTTTTTGTATTGTGTCGGACAGAACTTGTTTTCAGTTGTTGTGTACTTGGAGGATTGTTTGTTTGTGTTAAATCAAATAGTCCTATTGTTTTGTTCACTACTGTTTCTCCTGTTTTTATGTTAGTGGAATAGGCAAGAGATTTGTCATTTTGTTTACTTTCTTTTCATGTTAGGAAAGACTAGGGTGTTGCTAGTCTTTTTGATTTTTGTTTTCGGACCATTCTCTGCCCTAAAAATGAATAAAACTGCTGTGTTCAATCTGAAGTGACCTGGACTGCTGGTTTTCTTGGGAGTGGGAAGAGTGGCTGTCACTTATCATGTTGTGTCTTGGTTCCCCTAGACTGGGGACGTACTGTGACATTATCTACAAGTTTATCAGTACCGTAATTTATGTGAGTGTAGATCATTTCAGGAAAGTAAATTGTAAAAACAAGGGCAACACAGCATTGAGAGAGAATTCATGACTCACTGTGAGACACGCCTCAGAATCCAGTAATTCACTTGTGAATAATAACTTAACTATGAAAGATATCAAAGATAATTGCCTATCCTGTGGGTTTATAATGTAAATAATTACTTGAATAACAAAGTTATTACATGTCTCTTATAAACATTTTCTACAAAGTGGTTTATGTTCATGTGTTTACATGTTTTTGTGATTTAATCTTTCATTAACAACAATCAAATTTGAGAAAGTTTTTGTACTTACCTGTTGTAGGTGTGGGAATTCACCAAACTTGTAAATTTCTCCTTTGTGGGATAAATGAAGGTTGTAAGTTGTACAAACAAGTGAATCAAGTTTTACTGACGACCGAGATGGACAGTCTCAGGGAAGACTTTCTTGAAAAAGGTTTTGGAAGTCCGGCTTGTTGTCGATGCGAGTCTGCAGCAGTGAGGCTCTGTTAATCTGGCGGGAGCAGAACGGATGTAGGCCTGCATGTGGGACAGCTCTGCAGCTAGGATCACCCACCATCTGCACTGGCATGTTCTACCCACCCATCTTCTTATGCACATGTATAGCTTCAGAAAGTTTGGTGTTGCAGGCCAGCAGGTCTTTCCAGTCGACAAAGTTTATAGTCATCTCATCAACCTTTACCCGCCTGACTCGGGCATGGGCTTATGGAAATCCAGCACTATCTGCAAGTCTTCCACGTGGACAGACAGTCAATCCTTTGTCTTCTTTTATAAATAGTTGTTGTCCACTTTTGTCATTTTTTTCTGCATAGTTATGGTAATAAAATATCTTATAATGTGTGCGCATTAGCTTAGAGATGCAGGAAATCCGGAGTATGAACTAGAGTGCTGTATAACTTTAAAGCATGTAAGGGCAAGAAGAAAGACCAGCAAAAGTGAAAAAAATGTATTCAATTGTTGTAAACATCAGGGTTTTACTGTATGAAGTGTATTTTCAGCTCTAAAAAGAAGTCCAGACATAAAATATGCAGAAAAAACTTGTTTTGATTTGAAATGTTTTTTAATGTATTATTCAGTTACTATAAAGTAGACGTCATACTGATGTGTGAAACTATAGCAGCCTCAAAGTGTCAGATATTCATTTTTATTCACAAAGTTCCTTTAGTTGCTGCTATACTTTCCACTCACAGAGCACTTTGTTGGATTTGTAGTTTTTTCATGTGCTTCTTTTTTAACAGCCAAATTTGGAAGCAGATGTGTTAATATCATTTAACGCATGCTATGTTCACCTCAAATTAAAGCATTTTGCCTTACAAACATGGCTGTAACAGACTAATAATTATACTTAAATATACAGCTTTACAAACATGAATGTGTGATAAACAAAAGACAGCCAATGTATTTGTTAAGCTGTAGTGTCTTTCTTTCAAAATGGCGTACATGCAGAACTTAACAGACATATCAGTTAGCCTCAGATAGATAACTCTTCTTTAAAACTAGCTAGTGCAGTCCTCATTATTTCACTAAATAGTCATTAGACATTAAATATGTTTAGGCATTCAATACATTTACAAAGTTGATTAAATACTGACAGATAATTGTAACACTGCTGACATTGGACAACAGAATCTGTCATTCAAATCCTGAGCCAATTGGATGCAGTCTGCAGCCAACAGGCATCTACCCCCTTTCCCCAGGTGCACTAATCACCTGATTGAACCCAATCAAGGAGTCAGTCAGAAGGCAGCAGGACAGTCATTCCTAAAACAGTCAAGGAGAACTTCTGAAAGAAAAACACTGTGCATACAACCCTGGACACAAAGCTGGACTTAACTGAACTGAGACTTCAAGCCCTTTAGGAGCTGCTGCTGCTGCTGCTGCTGCTGCTGCTGCTGCTGCTGCTGCTGCTGAGGAGGAATGTGTCAGGACTGAACACTGGTCAGGTCATACTGCCGGAGCAAAGAAGATGGCGAGCTAAAGGCGCAACTTCGAAAGACTCAAGATTCCCTCAAAAGGCAGGCCTCAGGCCTGGCTGTCTGGTTAAAGGGTGTGGTAGGATGTGTGGTAGGATTTCCTCTACCTAAATAAACATTTGAATTCGTTGGACATCTGCACACACATGACACACGTGTTTGGTGCATTGATTTATACGTATAGAATTGGGAATATTTAGCATATGTTGTATGGAGGGTAAAAGGTGCCCTTAAGAATCTGTTAATTGAAGGCCTATTTTCTTTTATTTAAATTGTGGGATTTTCCTTGATTAAGTTAAAGTGTCTTTTGTTATTTGTTAAAAATTGAACTTTGAAATACAAAACCGGTTATCAACATTCTGTGTCATGTGTTTAATGAATTCTCCACCAGCGTCAAGAGTCTAACCTACATTAGCCCAGTACACCTTAATTTGTTACATCTTGTTTTTTTGATAATTCATTATTTATAAATGCATATTTCAGTTAAAGTAAATTTTGTATCCTGAGTGTTACATAATGCTTCGACCACAGCTTCCATAAAAGTGGGTAAACGCTGTTTTCATTCAGTTTTCAATACGTCATTAAAAAACTCTGTTGCTATGGTAACTGCAACCGGAGTGAAATCAAGACGTTAATGTGACAAAAACAGACACAGTGAACGTATTTGGTTATAAACATGCTGCTTTCCAAATAAAAAAAGGATATGGAATAATTTCCTCAAGATAAAAAATACTCAAGTGTTGTTTTTGTGTCTCAGCTCATCCTTCTTTTTCAAGCTGTAAGCTAGTAGCCTACCACTAGCTACAGTAAAAGTGTTGTTGTTTTTTACTATTATACATTAAGTAGCCAAATTTTTCATTGTTTTAAAAAAACAACAACAACGGGCCCCTGCAATCTCAAATTCACAATAATCCAGGATTTTGTTATTATAACAAAGATAAATATGATTTTACTCACCTGGTTTTAAATGGTTGCTTCTCTCAGCCGATGTCCGAGGACGAGATCTTCTGCACTCTAGGCTATAATCCATTTTAACTTTTGTTTGACTGTGTTGCTTGCTGTTTGATTTACTAAAATAAATTGACTTGAGTTCTGGAAACAGAGCAGTGTTGTTGGTGTTATGCTGCCATCTGATGATCATTAGGCCACACTTCCAGACTGCTTATGGACTATAAAGTAAATTAATCCAGGAAGAACTTAAACATCAACAAAGATGCTTCTACAGACTATTGCCATGGATTAAAGTTCTGTAGGCTACAGTCCATTTGAAAGATCTTGTATTTTTAAAGACTTTTCCTCGTAACAAAACATAATTTTTCTAAAAGCTGTTTTGTCACAAGAAATGCTCTATCTGTTGAGTTTCAGTTTTAATGATTTAAATTGTCATTACAGACTTCATCCACAGCAACTGAGAAGTAATTTAAGTTAAATATGTAATTTAATGCAGTTATTATTTTACAAGATAATAATATATGAAGTTTAGAATAAAGTCAGATTTAGAAAAGATGAATTTGCAAGACAACTGAAGTAAAAGAAAACCACACTTACAAATAAATCTCCTGCAAAATGTTTATTATGAAGTAAAAGTAGGCTACGTAAGTAAAATCAGAAAGGTCTCCGTTTTAAAGTGGAAGTAGAAGCATTCTGTGACTAGAATATAGTCTTTAGTTCTTAAATAAAGAGTCTCATTTTGGGTTGTGCATCAATCTTTATTATGACAAAAATATAAACTAATGTACAGAGCAGCATCGTAGCGTGTCATTAAATATGTAACATGTTCACAGAGGTTGTACGGACGGGTAGCAGTGAATCAGCTGAGCGCGTCTCAGTGAGTGTGAGCCGAAGAGGAGCAGATAAACGTGTGCTGGGTTTCAGGGGAGCAGCTCGTGGAGATCCAGCTTCGGGGCGTTTCGACCAGCACGCAGTCAGAGCCTACGTCGGACTCACTGCTGCCCGGCGGCGCCCCCCTCAGTCTGGAGAAGGACACAGAGCGACCGTCAGCCCACATCCAGCGACCGGGACCTCCAGACAGACCTGGGGAACGTGAAGAGGAGTCACAAACATCTTCTGGACGTAACGGCTGACAAAGGCTAACACTAGGGTTGTAAATATCAACAAAAACAAAATGGTAACCAATTTCAACAATGTGAATACGTTCTTGAAGTAGAAGCAGTTAGACTAGAATTGATTTCAGATCTCTTCAGGTGTTTAAAGCAACAATATATAGGAATCAGTTTGCTGCACTTTGGTGACGACAAAAGTTCTCTATGTATAGCTGCACTGTTGTAAAACACAGTGCTGTTAACTCCTCCTCCTCGTAGACAACGTGCATTTGTTGACGATCAGGTTCTGTGTTGTGAGACGCAAAAGAGCCATGTAGACTGACAAGATTCAGTAAAAATCTGACTCTGTGTCTCGTCTATAGCTTGCTGTAGAGACGACTTTTTTGTGTCAGATGGATTTTTTGATTTATTCGTTTCAAACCTGAGACAGAACTCGGGTCAGACGACTTCCTGCAGCCGGTAAAGCTGCTAAACAGATGACCTCGACCCGCTGACAAAGTTACATAGTGCTGAAAACAGGCGAGTGGGGCGCTCTGTGGACATGAGAGAGTCGCCATTCTCCCCGTTGAACGTTGTCGTAATATTAAATCGACTTTGAAACAACTTTTTTAAGATGGAAAAGTTACATATTGCTGCTTTGACTGTGCACTTTGTTGATCACTCACCGATCCAAAATGGCTTCCTCCCTGCAAACTTCCACAGCCAGGTCATGTCTCTTCTGGAGCGCACGCTGGTCAGGCTGCTGTTAAATCTGAACACAAACATTAGAACAACAATCAAAACACACATCTAGAGGAGTCCTCACACTTATAGAAACAACAGAGGGGAAGTGAAATGGGATGCATGTGCAGGCAGAAAAACATAAGAGATGCAGGCCTCTGCCTTTTAGTCTTTTAAATTCACTTTTTAAATACAGTCTATGATTTAAAGTCAGGCTGTCAGCATCAACTAGTTAATCACAATGATTAAGGTCTGAAATTAATGCATTACTTTAAAGGAAACATGTAAAGGTCAAAGTGAAATAAAAGTGTGT